GTGTTTTATGTGCTGCAGAACAGGAATCTGCTGTAAAACAGCAATTATGCTGAGTCAGGCTTGATTTTTAGTAATCTTTTCCTGTTAAATCAATAAATCAAATCAAATAAAAAATTAATTAACCCGATCATGACGAGCGTCATGCACCAGGCTTTTATTCAGGATTGAAGCACTGATGTGTAGAGTTATAATCGGCATAAAGCACCCTTCTCATTCAGATTACTAATTCACATCTGATGCTTACATGACACATTTTATTSCAGCTGCCTGTTTGTTCTCATTACATATGTCCATGTAAGCATTGTTATTGTCTCAACAACTACGATATTTCCGAGCCTCTCCTGAGGTGTCTGTACAGGAAACAGACAGCAACGAGGATGGGATTTGAACCCGCAGTACATCATCTTAACCACTCAGCCGCCTCATCTGTGACAAGATCCTTTCAGATGAAACTTTGGTAAATCTAAGTGCTGCCATGTCTGCTTCAGGTTCTCCTAACCAGCCTGGTATACTGAGTGCAGCCTGCTTTTATTTTGTAATATCTCTGATGACTGCACAGTCTGACCTTGGGGTGAATGCATTGGATTCTCCACTCCTGGGAAGATTGGCAGCTGTGAATAATTGTTCTGGCTGCAGAATGATGAACTCCAAATAGTCTGGAAATGACCTTTAACCCTTCGCAGACTGACTGGTAGCAACAGCTGCGTCTCTGAGGTCATTCTGCCTCGGCGTTGTGTTAACCCTCAAACACACACCTGTATCAGACTGATGATCAGCAGCAGCACCGAACTGATACTGAACCATAAATCCTGCAGCAGCAAAGGTGGACTTACGTTATTTTTACTAAACAGCTTTTCTATTTTGGTTTGCTTTATTAAATAACAACACTATGGAATCTGTTGCATGTTTTTCTACCCCCGAGGACAGACTTTAATACCTTTTTCCTTCTTCCCATAAAAAACTTTTATACATCTGTCAGTCTTCAGTTTATCAGAGCAGCCTCAGGAACTGTTGCCATGGCGACATCACAGACAAAAGTTGCTTCAAGATCAAGGATGATTAAATTATYCACAACCTGACAAATATAACACAGAAATCTGAGATTCTTTTCATCTGATGATAAAGATATTGGATGTGTAAACKTTGATCTTTGTCCTCAAGGTCAGATCTTCCTCCTCACTGCTTTAATCCAACTCTCATTTACGTCTCTTTAAACATCTTTTTAAGCCCGTGATAGTCTGATCATATTTATTAAACTTCACGAGGCAAAGTAAGATTCTTTTTCATAARTTATACAACCTCTCCAGAGTCTTGGAGTCAACTCCGTGCGTAAAAATGTAACCGTTGCGCACTTTTTGAGCCAAACTCAGCTGTCATTTTTGCAGCTTTTAAACACACAAATACACACATTTATCGGAATTACCTCTCCTTCCAGCTGCTGAAACCCAGCCGGCATGACTCTGACAGCTCCGGGCACCCCGTCAGTGACAGATCCGCTCTGGTGCCAAATGGAGACGTGGAGCGCGTCGGCGCCGAAACAAGCAAAACAACGCCGCGCAGATTTAAARGTTTATTCCAAAAAAGTGAAGCCCTGTAGTGAAAAACGGGGGAGGGTGAAATCAGTCCCGCAGCTCGTCCTCTCTACTTCAAAGGTTTGTGTTGTTCGTTCATATAGAATGACGCCGCGCGCACGKCACACGCGCGCGCGCTCCCCAGCAGAGAAGCGGGCAGCTGCTCCASAGAGGCCTGCGCTTAAGGTCGAGACGCGAGCAGGAAACTCTGCTGACCTTAACTGTCATTGGCTGAAGGAGAGAGACACCCGGACAGGACAAGAGACGTGTCCGCGCACGAGGGGATTTMAAAGATCCTAGAGTTAAAGTGAAGAATGGGTCTTCAGGTTCTGCAAGATGGGTTTTGGTGGCTTTTTTGCACCCTTTGTTGGAGAAATTCGCACAAAAGTGTATTTTTTTAAGCTGCATCTTCTTGAGAACATTCTTGGGGTTTATTAAAATAAAAATAAAGCTCTTATAAAGTTCCAAAATGTTTTGCAACAAACATGACTTTTGCATCTAAAAACATGTCTTAACACGACGTTGACATGGAAAGTTTTGTGTAAATAACCCAACATCAATTTAAGTAACTGTCTGATGCAAAAGGGAGGAGTTAAACAAACATCTATCTATGTTAGGAATTGGCAAAAAGAATGAATCCAGGGTGCAGGCAGCTTCAAAAAGGCAAAAATAAGGATTTAATAAAACA